GGGAATCATGCTGGTGATGACTGGCACGGCCTGTCTGATCTCTCAAGCACAGTCTGGTTACTCCTGGTACTACCTACACATTTCCTTCTGTAGCTATCGAGCTTAACCTTTCTGAATTATTTAACGAGCAAACATCCAGGGCGAGGCTGCTCGGCGCTTGCTGGGACCCACCGAGCGACTTACTGCGGCCCAGGTGGCAAGCAGCGGGGCTTTGGCTCCGTCTCTCGGCCTGGTGACCACGGCCGAGAGCGCCCGAGTTCGGCTGCGGACACCCCCCCAGAGACCGGGAGAACGGTGAGATGCACATGTACACACACTGATGTTACATATATACACGCGTAGCATCCTATGTGTATGCATGCACGTATAGACTGACGGAGGGAAACCGTTCACGTGTCAGCACGGTCGGAGCAGAACCTACTCCTGGTCTGGGTCCGGACCGGAGCCCAACGGCCGAGCACGGCTGGTCGAGGTTACACCCCCAGCCCCCGCCTCACGCCCTGCCCAGGGACGCAGAGCTCGCTGCTCAGCAAGGCGCTGCGCTTCCCCGGCCGCCGCGGGTGCCCTTTGGAACTCCCCCGTGGTTACGTGGGGGTTCTGACAAACCTGTTCGGTAAATACGGGCGAGCCTTTCTTCCAGGACCATTTCCTGCAAGATTTGTACCTCATTTATTCCGATACACAGACCGTTCTCAATGTGTGTATATATCCTGCCTCCCATTTACTCCCGCCCGCCTCCTGCTCGCCTCCAGCCTCCTTTTGTTTCCCTCTTTCCTGGCGAATCCAATGCACGGCCTCTCTCCTTGAAAGGAAAATTAATGAGTTATCGCATCTGCTGCCACTGGAGCTGCTCTTACCATGTGGCGGTGGCAGACGTGGCGCAGGCAAGCAGCTCCGGTGCGAGATGCAGAGTCATTTCGGATGGCTTTTGGGGGAGAAAAATGGTTTCTCCTTCCCCCCCCAGCCTGCAGTGCTCGGTTTCCGGGACGAGGCGGCACGGCGCTCTGACCCACCGCGCAGCTCTGCCGCACAGGCTAGGGGGCTCACCGGGGGAGGCAGGGGCACGGGGGGGGGGATTAGGTCTGCTGCGGGGAGTGAGGGAGAGGCTTTCACTCCTCCTTCTGCCACGGGCTCGCTCCCAAGACGCCGAGCGTGAGATTTGGAGAACCAAACCCTTTCCAAAAGAAAACCAACCGAAACAACCTCCCCACACACAACCAGCCGGCCCAAAGCCCAGCCCAGCCCTTCCTGCCCAGCGCAGGGTCTTCGGTCATTTCGAAGCCGTTTTACTCCTCCGAACAGACCCCTCGAAGCCAATTCCTCACCTTCCCCAAACCCTGCACGCACAAAGAAATCAAGGCGTGACAGGAACAGCACGCGTCGGCGGGACCAGACACACAGGGGTGTAACTGAGGCGAGTGAACAGCCGGAAAACCAGGAAGGCAATGTCATCCCTCCTTCCAACTTCTAAGAAAATCTCTGAAAACACCGACTCTGGGACGGCAAACCCAAAGGACGGCTTAGGCCAGTTGTGATCCTTCAGAACAAAGGCCGACGAGCTGAGGAAACATCTTCTTGCGATTTTTATTGATTTCGTACTGAGAGACGTCAGCGTACCCGCAGCACTGCAACACTCTGCAGCGCTGAGCGCACACAACCATCCCGCGCGTCGCAGGTTTGATGGAACTGAAAAACACTTTACAAAATGACAGTAGAAGTGTTGAAACTTATCCTAAATTAGATAAAAATGCAAAGAACTAGTAATATTTCAGCTTAACATCCATTTTAAAAATCGGTCTACACATAAATAAGAGTGTTAGTCTTTAAGTAAACATGCTCCATGAAACCTAAAATGGCGGGATTTCTGGGGAATAGGATTTCTTCCTGAAGCTTACGTGGCTCTTCTAGGGATAGCGTAACTTCTCTCCGCCTGCACACACGGAAACGACGCTGGAGACGGTAGCCTCCTAGACCTTACAATATCAAATAATGAACGTTCTTGGAAAGGAGTAATTTCAAGTGGGCTGGATTTTCTGATAAAGAGAGCTTAACAGACTTCTCTTACTGATGGCGTTAATTATCTAACACACACAAGCCCCGTCAGAAAGAATTTAACCTCCAAAGCTGGTCTCCAAGAAGGGTTTTTAAGGACCTCCCTGAAGGCCCTCACAATGTAAATCTCTTATGTAAAATATGTATTTTAGCGATATTTTATCAACAGAACAAGTAACTGCTCATTACATAAACATGTGTATTAAAGGTTAACACAGTCGCGAACACCTTGGTAACCGATACCGCAGCAGCACACCTGCACACGCCAGTTCCTCGGCAGTTCTGAGAGCTGGTGCAAAGGAAGGAGAGCCCTCCTCAGTTCCCAGGGTTTGGCAAGACTTCCAGTCATTTTCCCAGCAAATATATTTCCTGAAACACTTACAATGGGGTTTATTTTTATTACCTTGTCCGAATACTACATGATTTCAGTGAGCGTTGAACGCCGGGCCGAGGGCGGCCGTAATGTCAGCAAAGGGAGCGCTCTGACTGAGCTCCACAACCGACTGCTTCTTCAGAACGAGAAGGATGTAAAACTTGGCTGCAGCCTCCTTCCGGCTGCTTTTCCGACAGAGCTCCCGTAAACTGAAAGAACGCACGCCTGAGCTCTCCAGGTGCTGCGTGAGGGAAACAAGAACATCGGTCAGGTCAGCTTCACTGCCGGTAAACCCGGATCCCGTCAAGTCCGAACCGAAGAGTGCTGCTCGGAGCGGGTATTTTCTGCTTGAACGCCTGGAATAGGATCTTACCTTGGCGCTTGCGTTTATACAAGTGGCTCTTAACATTTTATTGCCATAGTATGGCTAGCACCTACTTACGGTACTAAAACCTACATATGCCTGCAGTTGCAGTGAATTCAGCGAAACGGTGCTGAGGCGCGCGATGAAGCGCATCTCTAACGGTTTTCATGATTCAAAACAATAAAAACCGCGGCGTACCCTGCCCTTGGGATAGAGTACCGGCTACGTCCTAGGCAATTTCAGTCACAGCTAACTGAGTGTTATTACTGCTTGGTTTTTAATGGCTATACCTATATTTAAGTATTTATTTACAGGCGTTGCACAGAACCTTTGAAATATGTCCACATAAAATAATTAAAAAAAAAAAAACACCAAACCCAGGAAGGCTGTGAAGTCAAACTCCGGCCCTGGGGAAGAGCTAGGCTCGGACCAAAGTTTGTTGTGTTTCGCGGACAAAACCCGCACCCCACACCCTCTTGCCCTCGCTCGGATTTCTCCATCGCCTTCCTCCACTCTCCGTTCAGCCACGTGGCATTAGAGAACTGACCCGAAGGAAAATAACTCTTCGCGGTGTTTTTTTCCCACCCACCCCCAACCAGACCAAGCGCTGAAGCACCAAAACGCTCGTCCGGGCGAAAAGGACGGAACAGCACTGAGCCGTGAGGCCAAGAGTTTGGACATTCAGCGTCAGGGCAGCCTGCGCTGGCTCCTGCTACAGTCCTGTCGGTAAGGCAGATGATATCACACGTTACACCTTCACCGGTTTCGCAAGGATTTCTGCAAGAAAAGCAGAATAAGCCTTCCTGATGCAAAGGCTACGCGCTCTGCTAAATTTCAAGCACCTTGAAGGCACTGGGGCATTAAAACCTCTTAAAGAAGGTGTTACCAGCTCTCTTTTTAACATAACCCTCACCCGTTTCCCTAGCCTTCATCTCGGAAACAGCTCAAGCAGATGAATAGCCAAATGATGGCACCCTGCAGCGCTCAGCCGAGAGCTGGCAACCTGTGAGCAGCTAGGAACTGGGTTTTGTAGAGATGCTCCAGAGCATACTCGTAGAAGGAAGACAGCAAGGGCTTAGCATTACAGCAAACACTGCCGTGGAAGCAAACGTTCAGAAAATTCTAGCGATTCCAGCAGCTGTGGGAGATGACACCGTGTCAGGCACTCAGTCCTGGTTTCCTACATAAATACCCAATAAAACGCAGTTACACGCTGCGTGTGGGAGGCAGCGATATGATCAACAGTGTAAGGAGGAGATTTTCCGACATGGTCCAACTGAAATCAACGCCTAATTACAAAATCCAGCACTGGTACCTGTAAAGTTTTTAATAACTGAAGAGTTCTTTTGCTCCACCTTATTTCTTCACTGTCTTTCCCGTTCCTCGTTAGTTCCTTGAGAGGAAACAGAACAGAAGGTTAGACAGCATGCGTAAAAAGTCACACACCACGATGATAAAAAGGACGAGAGTGCTAGCCTGATTGAAAATCCAGCTGGAGCTGGGCATTTTGGTGGCCTTACTCAGGATATCTGGGACCTCTGGCACCTCTGCGGTCATACTCGGCTTTGTGAAGCAGAGGAGAGAATGCTAACTATGTTCTTTCTGCTACAAAGAGACAGATCAGGTGCAACACCACCTTTGGTGCTGTGGAAGTGGTCCCACTGAGCCTTGGGGAGGCAGCTTCACAAGAAGATACGGTTCTGCGCGACTGGGATTCTGACAGTACTTGTACTGGTCAGGGGACAGAAAGGATGTTCAAAAATTTGGCTTTAGATTTTGGGCTTAACCTCCGAAGTCGACAGGAGAAGACCGCCCTTGTTTCAGAGCGTCCGAGTACCCTCATAGCCAGTAAGCTCAGAAACTGTTTCCTTCTTACAGGAAGGACAAGCTCTGAACGAGGAGCTGTCTCCCCCGCAGACGGTAACCTCTGAACGTTGGAATACACGTATCCCTGGCTATCAAGCTATTAAAGTTTTTGACTGGCAAAATACATACTATAGAGGATGTTAGTACACCAAAAGTCACTGCAAGTTCATGATGCCATCACTTTTTTTTTTTTTTTTTAATATTTCTGAGAAAGAACACAGTTCTGTTCTGAAATAAGCCAGAGCTGTCAGCTTCGAGGACACGTACGTTTGTTAACTCGGCTCGTGGCGTTTCAGCTTCTTGGCCCAGTGAATGGTTTGCCAGCGAGGAGCTCTCTGAGAAAGCCATTCCATCCTGCTGTTAGAACAGAAAGGACGATCAATAGGCATCACAATTTATGCATACAATGTAATTCTCAATTACGTAGTTCTGCTCCAAAAACTTATTATAATAAACATTCTCCAAAAATGATTTCGTGGCTGCTATTTCTACCATGTCTTTTCTCAGATAGGAAAGGATCTTGCTGTGGTGTTTATCCTACCGCTGGATCTACACCTATGGACTCAGTTCAAGCACGGGCCCTACATTTTCTGCTGCCATTACGTCCAATTTTGTCATTCTTTTTCAACTTTAATGAGCCTCGTATTCTCTAAAGAATCCCCTTTCACGTTCACCTAAATAAAGATAGCAGAAATAGATAATCTGTTATTGCTGGAGTATTTCCTCAGTTTGAGACACAAAAGGTAATTTCTGTCCTTTATAAAGACGATTACCTCGTCAGTACAAAGAGGCTATATTTTGTATTAAAGTTCCGTTTATACTTAGTGATTCGACTGTAATCTATACTGATTAATAGGCACTTTAATTAATAGTTCGATTCATGGTAAGAATCTTCCAGAGTGCCTATAAGTAAACTTTCATGGCACAAGCTACTTCATGCTGTATCGGCTGTCTCTAGCATCCTTTTCAAACATCTATTGGCAATTTCTTAACGCGTTTTAAATGGAACCCTAGCATAAAACAAAACCAATAAATACATTTAGGTCTCTAAAATTGATGGAAACTGCTCACTATCGTTTCACCACAGTTATCATCAGTTTCATTTCTGTTATTCTGTGACGTCAACACGAACGGATCGTTTCTAATTTTTCTCTCGATCTCTGAACGAGCTGACTCCTGCAGGTAACTTGGCTCTTCTACTATCAGCACCTCTGTGTTAATGAAAAAACAAGGTTTAAGAGGAGATCGCTGTCAATCGCTGCCCTTAAAAAGAAAAACATTGAAAAACAAAAATCACACCCTAGTTAGCAATCTTTAAGAGAATCTTTGAGAGTAAGAGCCAGAACGAGTAAATGCAGACTAAATATCATTCCCAGTAGGACCACGGAAGAAGAAGAACCTTCCAAGAGAGTTTTTCCTTTTCTAAAAGTTGACCTTTATGGACTTGCAGGAGGTGGTTTTGTTGATGAACTCCTGAGGCAGCCATACAGATTATGTTTCTAACGGAGCACAGGAGTGAAAGCAGATACATCGTCTTCTCAGAAGATCTAAACCAGAACATTTCTTCTTGCTTGATATTAACCAAAACACAATCTTCATGATGCAAATAGGAGTTATTTACATGAATTTGGAAATTTGGAGAGTGGTTTGATCAAACGCAGGATAAGTGGGAAACTTTAAAACAAACAAACAAAAAAAAAAAACCCCAAATCTGCAGTTTGGTAGACAATTAGAGAAACCAAAGGTAAAACCTCCTTATGCCACAAGGAAGAAGACGACTTGCATTTCATTTCTGATCTAAGGAACAAAAGAACAGCAAAGTACTTATAAAAACAAAAAAAATATTTTTTTAATAATTAACAGCCCGTTTCCTTAACATTTAACTTTTTTGGCCTTTGATTTGTAGAATACTGCACATAAACACCGTGCACGTGTCTCAAACATTATGTAAAATAGAAAATATTTTCTAACAGCTAATTCTGCAACAACAGAATTAAACTACTACCTGTGGCATCTTGCTTTTTTCTTGTTTCTTCCATTTTAGACTCCCCCTGTATTCCATTTCTTCTCATCTTAAATCCGTGACTCTTGAAGCATTTTGCAAACAACTGAAAATAATTATTTTTATTTGTTTGCTTTCAGAATATAACGTTAGATATTTGCAAACATTGACACAAAGGTATGAATATGAGCTGTATATTAATTACTGCAGCCTAGAATTTAGGGATTTGAATTAGGTCATTCTGAAAACCTGCAAGTTTTAAAAAAAGTAATTTCCTTCTGCAGCTTCAACTTTGGCATTGAACTCCGTGAAGAAACGTCTTAGGAAGAGCTTGGATCGTTTTTCCTTGAAGCCAGCCAGTAAGGAGGGATGAAAGAAAAAAAACCATCTGCAGTTATCTATGCGTGGATTTCTTTCCCCGTGTGCGAGTATTTTTCCTCCTCATAAAGAACAAGTTGTAATTCTGCACCTCGACTCTAAGGGGTGAAGCTGTGCTGCTGTAATGAACCTGGAGAGCTGTCTGCCTGCAGACCCTGCCTCCCAGATCTCTCCAAGCTACACCACAGAAGAAACAGTGCAATTAACGTAAGGCTGCTGCACGTAGTTTACACCATATCTTTCCGTATCACCTTGTATACACGGTGATCTCTTCTTTATCTCATCACCAGCTTTAAACTTACAGCCTCTTTGAATGACCCGTCGGATGCTACGTGGGGACACGAGAGGCTTTGATAGATCATATTTCCATGAAACAAGTACGTCTTTCTTGTGCAAAAAGGGCAGTAAGGCCCACAGCCGCAGGAAAGGGTGGTCTGGCCCAGCCTTCTAGCCAAAGCGATAGAGTGATCAGGAACCTCTTGGTGCTCTGAACGGCAAGTCCCTGACTGCTCTCCAGCTGGAAGCTTAATCTCCAATTGGGAAAGTACAAAAGAAATTGGCATACCATCTTTCCAAAGCCACTAACAATATACTACTACTACTAATAATAATGTTTAAGCCTGATGTACCTTTAAAGTGAATGTAGAAGAAAGATGTGGTCTCATATTGATGACAGAGCAGAAACAAAACAGAAAATAATACAACAAAGTAGAAAGTAGAAAAGAAATGGACAGAAATCTAAAAAGTTGTGTATTAGTGTACAATCAGTCAGGTGCCAGTATGTGAAATGAAACATGAGCTCTCAAGTCTCTCTGTCATTTTTTACTTGTTGTTGGAGTGCTGGAGATTAAAGCTGTGAGCTCTACAGGTGGTCTTTCTGGTGAAGCAATTAGTGGTGAGTATGCAAATAATCATCAGGCATCCAACTGAACTGGGCTGCAAAACGATGCGTTCAATGCACCTGCAGTTTGCTAGGAGCTCACGTAAAACCAAGTCTGCAAAACCTCTCACAGCTAGATCCTAGATGGCAACAGTCCCATAATCCAGACAGTGGCACAAAAACCTACAAGGAATTGATCTTTACCATTTGCAGCTCAGCGTGAACCACAGGCTGTGTAGCGTGGGACAGGAGTTTATCCACGCCTCCTGATTTCTTCCACGTCATTGTTTTTTTTGTCGGGGGTGCAAGGTCTAACACAGCAAGGATGTCCGCGCAGTTGTTAAGTTGGTTGTATATAGCATTGCAGCTGAGCTCCTTGTCTACATCCACAAGCAACTTCCTCTTTCTTTTATTTTTTTTCCTCTGGGTGACATCTAAATAGAGCAAGTATTAAAAAAAAAAAAAAGTCTAGTAAGGTCTATTCACAGAACACTGAGGCACAAAAAAAAAGCACTGTGAATCAAACGGACAGGCTGCTGACCTCCCAAAACACCGCACAGACTTGAAAATCAAAGTACAAGGGCGTGGGCCATTTCTCCAAAAGTTTTCATAAAGTATACTCTTTGTATTCTTATACAGGAAATTCACGTGTGTTTAATTACAGAAGACATATGACTATTGTACTAAAGAACCGGGAACATGAGGACTTAATGAGAACACATGATACACCAACAAGACTGAATAAGCTATCTTTAATCCATCAGGAAGTTAATTGTTCCAAGAACTGCTGATGTACTCAACAGGTTTCATTACCTTGTAATTAATATCTGTATTTGTCAGTTTAATCCTTTAGCAATTTAATTAAGATGTATGTAGTAAACACAAAACAAAGACACGGATCGGTTATATAGCCATAACTTCCTGAATATTATTTTGGCAGGCTGGAAAATTCCAGTATTCTAAATATTAGTGTCAACGTGAACTTGTTTATTTGCTAACAGCCACCAGTGTAATAGGTGACATTTAGATTTACTCACAGAAGAAATGAAACGTTTTTCTTTTTGGATCTTATTAAAGTTCAAAGTTCACAAAACAAAATTTTACAAAGGCCTGAAAGTTGTATGTTATTTTACACATAAAAATCACTGACATGTCACTAGCAGTAAAAGTTCTTCAGCTGAAACTTCAGTAACACTCATGAATAGGCCGGGCTTGCACCGCTAGCAGAACTGCAGAGCAACAAAACTTGATTTGGTACATAAAAGAAACTGTAAGCAGAGATTTGGGCAGGTCGGATGAATAACCTGATACTGTTTTTGTATAATAGTTACCATAAAATGGAACTCTGACAGCAGGAGCAGATGAAATCTAAAGTGGGAATAATCTGTTTTGCAAATATTTTCAGTAACAGGAAGAAGATCAAACCTAGTAACACAAACATTCAGCAAGAAACTGGTCAAGTTCTGACCTGTATCATCAACTGGCTCAAGCACAAATCCTTCTTCTTCTTTCAAGAAAAGTATTGTTTCATTCATTAGATGACTTACTTTCTTAATGGTGGTGTCTGCGCAGTTGGACTCAACTATAAGAAAACCCAGCAAATAACCCAAATTAAAGAAAGTTTACAAGATGGAATAATTTCTCAATCTCATGACACAGAATGGTATCAGGCAAAAAAGATCAGAATTCGAAAACTATGATTTTGTCTATAATCTCACAATCACTTTAACCACTCATAACTGGCACTGCTGCTGCTCATATTCTGCACTGCACGCTTTCCTTTGCTGACACCAGAACCTGTATGACCGGGTGGTGGAACAGACTGAAGAACCGATCTGGAGGAAAACCCGCCTGACGAAACGTGTTTAGGGGGAAAAGTGTCTCCTTTCAGTACGTACCTGTTTCCAGTTCCAGGCAACTGCACGGCAGAGCAGACATTTCTGTCAACATAAAAGGAACAGGTAGTACCAGGACTAGTGCCACTGTTTCCCTCTAAAGCTGTTCCAGATTACTCAGTTTTAAAGTAACAGTGTGATGGGGGTATAAGGGTTTAAGACATATAAAAAATTCCAGAAACACTTTTCAAAAATGAATTTCATCAATATCAAACCAAAAGACGACTAACAACACCTTTATGAACTACTAAAGTGTCATTTGTCACTGAAATATGAAGCCAGAAATACTCATGGGTAAAGTTCAAAGTTACAGCATAGCCATTCAGTGTCCTTTCCCCTACAAAGGGATATCGCCGGGTCTAAGCAGCAGAGTGGGTCAACAGCGTATCCAACAGGAGATGACATGAAAGTGTTTCTAAGCAACATCAAGTTGCAAACCTGGAATCCCTAGATCAAATGAAATTATACCTAAAATGGTGGATGAAGCATATTAGAAAAAACCAAGAGACCTGAACAAAGGAAAGAGGCATGGGATATTACACAAAGCTGAATGTGAGCAACTTCAGGCATTAATCCAGGAACAGAGGGTTCACATGAGTAACACAGAACGGACACTGCAAACTCACTGGCTGTGCTGTTCTCTGGCAGATCTTGTGGCAAAGGACGTTCTTCCTCCATGTCAAGAATGTCTTTATCCAGGCCATTTTGCTCATCCCTCAACAGGATTTCTTAAATACAAAACATGTAGTTTTAATCAGTCTAAGCCTTAGTAGTCATGAAATAGCCTGATACCGCCTAATGTTACTTATTTAAGGTTAATTCTGTGCAAACAAAAAAAAGCTCAGCTTCCACAAATGGCTGTCAATGATACGTCTGCCTTCAGCAGTACAGAAAGGAGAATGTTAGTCTTAATTTTGAGATGTCCACCTTTTCTTTGACAAGTATGATATTGCTATTGTTTAAAAGGTGCAAATCTATAAAAGTTTACGTAAATACTCTAAATCATAAAGATGTAGAAGCTACTTTGCTGCCTTTGTTATTACAACAATAAAGGTAAAAATGCTGCAGTATTTCACCTTTGAAAATATAAATTAAATTGCTAAACATTAAGTATAAATTGAATGCCTTTAATTCTAAAAAACTGAAATATCTTCTTTAATACAATTTTACTTGGCAATGTCTAAGTGATCATAGATTTAGTGACAAGTAGAAAGTATGAAAACAACAAAAAATACAGAATCTGTGTTTGAAAACAAGCGCTTTCATGCTGTCTTGTTGGTTTCCCTGTAAGAATAAGAATATTTGGAATGAAAGTAATTCTGTCTATCTGCGGTAAACCCTACCAATCATATCTGCAGCATCCTCCTCATCTCCAAAACAGTCGTGCTGAAAACAGTAACTGTCTTCTCGCAGTGCAGACTTGTCTCCATTCACGCTCGCAGAGTTCTGATCAGCCACAAGACTGTTACTGCTCATTAAGATGCTGCCGTCAAAGAAGCTCTGTTTTCTTAGTGCATCTGGTTCTTCCTCTGAATAAACACAGAATTTCTGATGCTTCATCTGCATGACTTTTTGAAACACATATTTATCCATTTCCTAATTTTTCAAATTATTTTTAAAAGATTGTAAGATATCCCATACTTCAAATGGAATTTAGCTAATTCAGTAAAAAGCAGGAAACGTTGGGTTTTATTCTCAGTCTCCGATATCATATTGTATTACTTAGGCAGCGTACTTACACAAAAAATTAAGCATGAGATGGTATGACGGGCCGATCAGCACAAGCGTGAAACAAATGCACTTTTAATAATAGCTTTTTCACATGTGGAAAGGACTCAGACTATACACAATTTTGCATAAAACACACTTTTCCTTATGGAACATTTCTAATTTCTCAACTTCTCTCACCAAAGTTTCTATCACAGAGAAGTATATCGCTTTTGTAATCCTCTGTAAGTGTGATGTCTTCAGCTCTGCTCTGATTCAAGGTAAAATGTTCAGCAACATCAATGGCACTGATGAAAAAAACATTATACAAAATACAGGGTGAACTGAAACCCACTGACCATTTAGCTGGAATGTGAAAACTTGTTTCTAAACAGTCTCCAATCCTGACATTTTATCATAAACCCCCAAAAGACAGCTTCCGTTTCCTATGACATTGAAAGTACCCCAGCTGATCCTCACTTCTGTGGAGAGAGAACAACTGTTTCCCAAAGCTATTTGCATTCAAGCCATTTAAGGTTTTATTGATAAAATTCACTGCTTTGCATTTCCCCTAAAAGGGTAAAAATAAGCATATGGAAAACAGGTGCTATATGTTTATTAAAATTGCTACCTCTAAGCAAGTAGGCAGCTGCCTTCTTTGCTAGCCAAAGTTTCTATGCAATCTCCAACGTACGTTGTACAGCGAAGACTGAATCTGCAATACCCGTAACAGCCCGATAGCTGGGGAGCGGTCCAGGAGGAGGGGAAAGCATTTAGCTAACCGGACTTGGAAATACTCCCCCCACCCAGAACTCCAAATGATCCAGATGTATACTCAGCAAGCGACCCCCTCAAGAAACAGCAGACATATTTAAAAGGAGGAGGGAAGGACCCATCCTCCTCTCCATATTTCATATTGCTCCGCTCTCTTTTGGCAGGAAGCTTGGGCTTGCGTGAGTTTCTTCACATCCAAGCCCTGCTATCCACCGGACACTTGTCACACAGAAGGCATCTAATTAGTGTAACACCAGCATCTGTAAATCAAACCACACGGAGTCTTTGGGTAGGCAGAAAAGGCACGCTTTACAGAGTTAGCACACTGAGGTACTGGAATAAATAGTATTACATCACAGCTGTGCTTACAAAATACCAAACACTTACAGATCCCATCAAACTGTATTTATGACGAGGTACAGAGGAAGCCTCAGCGGAAGTCTGTCATCCTGGACCTCTGGAGGCATCAGAGCCATCGGAAACATGTCTTGGCCTCCTGCTTTTTATCAGTTTTTCTACATTAATGCTGACTCGTGTCAGAAAAGCCGAAGAAATGTACTGGCTTTTCATCGGGAGCCAAGCTGACTACTGCTGATAAAATACACCGGCCCCAAAGAGCAATGGAGCAGAAATTAAATGCAGTTACACAATGGAACAGTGCAACATTGCGAGGTTACTAGCCAGACCGTCCTTGGTCTTGCAACTGGATTTATACTAACTTTTATATCTTCTCTTGAGGTCAGTAAGTTGTTTGCAGGCTTCGCTCAGGCAATTTAAAATTAGAAAATCCTGAAGTCTAAGTTCAACACATTATTTCATTGTAAAGGTCTGTTGATTAAACGGACTTTGAGGAACTCTACAAAAGCACAATTCCTGTGACTGTAGCCTTGTAAAGCTGACTCAGAATTTAGGAGAATTCAGTCATCAAATCAAAACAATTCCATCTGAGTCTTGATCAGATAACAGCAAGGATATCTTTTACTTCTGAAAATACTAAAATAATGAATAAAAACCAGGGAAGCATTTACCTTAAATCAGGTAGTGGTGTTTCAAAATCATGAAATTCTTCAGGTAATGTAATGGACTGATAAGCAGCCTCGAAGTTCTCTTCTGGAAGGTCAACAAGTCCTAAAAGAAACAAACAACATAACAAAATAAGTATCAATAAAATAAAAGCGATGTTCTCCCAAGTACGTATAATAAGACTATAAACCTGTCAGGAAGGTCTGCTGCCATTCTAAATAACAGAAAGGTAAAGCTCAGGCACTTTGTCAACAGGACACCAAAGTGGAATTTAAATCCTTAGGTTACATGTACTTTAGAGGCCATATTTTTTACAGGCAGATACAGAAGAGTCTGCTGCTACCGGACCTGAAAGACACCGGGTTTATGAACAGCTACTTTAAGTCCCTGAAAGATTCTCACAGCTGACATTTAGCCTAGGGTCCTTCACACCACTTCAAATGAATTATTGCGTTTTCTTTTTCTCTCCAGTGTCTGTATAGCGCTGTTCTCCAGCATCAAATAATTATGAAGTGAGACTGCAAATACTCGGTAATCAGAGAATCCTGGAACAACTCGGGTGAGAAGGGATTTCTGAAGGTCATCTAATCCAACCTTTTGCTCAAAACAGGGTTAATTTCTAAGTCAGATCACTTTTGACTATTTCTGCTGATGGAGACGCCACAGCATCCCTGGACAGCCTGTTTCAGCATTTTACCTCTTCCACTGAGATTTTTCCCCCCTCTATATCTAGTTGGAGTCTCCCTTGCCGCAGTCGTGACCATTGTGTCGTGGTTTTGTGCCGTGCAGTCCTCTCTAAGCTACTATAGTATCTATTCAAAACAGATAGTACTGTGTACTTATCTTAAGTGTTTCTTCTAGAGATTTCCAAATGTTTACAAATATTAACTAATTAATCATGATCGTATCCTTGAGAATAATGTAGAGTAGATATTCACTATTTGGCAAACAGAGCAGGTCACAAAGCACATTAAGGCTGGCAGCAGACGCTGGTGTCCTGTTCCTAGCCTTTTTTTACACAACAGTGCCTCCCCATTTGGTGCCTAAGTACGACAAAGGTACAGCCCGTTGGAAAAGGATCCAGTCGTCTCTGCTCCCTTCTCGCTGGCTACATGGCTAGAGCTCAAAACGCACTGTCAGATCTGGCACTAACACACTGTTAGACGTGTTGTTGGTGTCATCAGAAGTTAAAATTAATTAACTAGCAACGGAGGCTGAATTCAAGCTTCTTCTCATAAGACCACTTAAGATACTACTTCTTTTAAAGGAGTCAAAGACCTGAAAAGGCATTCAATTAAGCCAGACTACACATCAGCAGCAGGCACCAATAAGTTCAATTTCCTTTGGGATCAATAATGTGTATTTAACAGAAATATCCAAAATTAACTTTTAAAATGAGAGCTGTAAAGGACACAGATGGAAGAACGCAGAATTCTGCACGTACCTGGGCGAAAGGCTGTCTTCATTTTTGTCAAGGCTTCACTACAGTCTGCCAAGAGGTACTTTGCTTTCCTGTAGTAAATCCGCACCACTCCTAGGAGTAAGTGCCCAGAGGTTCGCAGAGCTATTGTAAACTTTGATGATTTAAAAAAGTTGTTCAGGAGTTAGTATTTTTGGCAAAAACATAAAAAGGAAAATATTACACAGCAGTAACAGAGTTCTTCTAAAATACACCAGTACAGAGCTCTACAAAATTCAGCAGGGCTTTGTGCTGATATAGAACATCGTAAACAGAAATGAATTTCGAGAGCCATGAACTTTTAGTTGCTTCTGTTCCTAAACACTGCCATGCCGAAGCGTGAGTCCCGAACCGATGCTCTTACTTTATCTAAAACACCTCAGCTGACTGGCAACGAGCAGAGTAACACATCCCGAAACAGAAAGTAGCTGTGCATATCCTAGTATTTGACACTTTGGTTATTTAAGTGAGCAGACACCATACCTATGCCCTTATTTATGCAAATGAAGGCCATAACCGTGCCCTTATTTACACAAGGTCTTCCTGCACCAAGCACACTCAACGTGGTCATGCTGATGCTAGACAGGACAGCATGCAAGGGAAAGTGGAGGGTACTTAAGCGGTACCTCTCGGAAAACACTTCCAAATAATACCGAGATCATTTTAACAATATTATTAATCATAACCCATGAAAGACAGACAATGAAACTCGGGCTACCAAATATCAAGCAGGTATTTTCAGAGAGAAAATAAAAAAATCTGCTTGCACCAGCTGAAAGCCTTGGATCTCCTGAGCCATCAATTAGTGACAGCACAAAGCGTTCCCCACTGTTCCCTCGGATGCAATTGCAATGGCGAGGCCAAGGACTGAGTCATGGGTACTTGACTGGCTGCATCTGCGCTTGTTTTGAGTCATACCTTATCTGTGATATGCAGACGGCTTCAGCCTCCGTGACTGTTCATACAGTCTCTCATAAGCACTACGTATGCTTAATTATATATTTATTGGCTTATAATGGGGGACCTGGAAGAAGTCCACTGCAAGTGGAAGGGTGGTTACAATATGTCAAAAGTTATTTATTGTAAGATCAGCAAAAGCATTCTCCTCAAATGGTCTGTGTTCAATTTCACGGCAGTTTTCATAGTCCCTTGACTTTGGTTAAGCAGCTGGCTTTTCAATCTTTTTGAGACAATTTCCTCAAATAACAGCATTTCCCAAATTATGCTGAACAATACCCGCGGCTGGTACTCAAAGTCTCCGAAAAGACCAGTGCTACCACACCACACCGCACTGACAGGCTCGTGTTGCCTCATGAGCAGCTCAAACCCACGTACCGTGACCCCTCGGCCAGCGGTGCCCACAGAGTGCTCCCTGGAGCTCTATGGGTGTGCAGAAGTATACATTTGAATATACTGTGGTAACATTTTCTTACACTGTACATAAATGTATGCCACAGAGCTCCAGGAGTAAAACAGCAAGTAAAATATTTATATAACTGTCATTTAACGGAATGGAGATTTTATCCGAGTGAGAACTGAATAAAATCAGAGTAGGAGTTTACCTCACATTGGTTTTGAAATAGCCACAAGTTTGTCCTACAAAGTCTGTCTCCACGATAGCAATAGTCCCATTCCCTACAGAAGGTGTACACCTCTACCCCAGAACGTACCAGAAGACACCTCATCATTTAATAGCGTACCTTTGGCGAGATGATCTTTTCAATGGTAGTCTCTAAATTGCACTCAAATATATGAGCTTTGGTGAGCTTCTTCTCCCAGTGGGCAGCAAGCCATATTTTGGCCAACGGCCCACGCTTGTTGACAAGCAAATGCATGTAGAACATGGCGCCTGGGCCAAGGCTCACAGGCCAAACCTGCTGCCGCCTCCCTGGGCTCTTCCCCTTCCAACGGGAGAGGGGTCCTGGGGCACAAAGGGGAAAAGAGATTTAGCAGGACCTGAGGGGACGGGGGGATTTAGCGGGACCCTGAGGGGACGAGGGGATCCGGCTGGGCGCTGAGGGGACGGGGGGACCCAGCCGGGCACTGAGGGGACGGGGGGATTTAGCGG